CCACTATAGTCAGAATTTTAATTCGATTCCAGATTTGACAATAGCTACTGTCATTTTGTGAAATAATGATACCACATGTAATAGTGTAGTGATGAACACAAAAATCGATAAACAATCAGTGTGTGTGTTTTATAATAAATGTTACAGAAAGTGACAGGATAGCGATAGCGATGACGGCGACAATTTATAAAATAACTTATTACCATAATACACCAATCTGTTTTATTTGCCATGTTCCTTCATGATTACATTTTTTTATTTATTTCACACACAATTATAAAAGAAGAGTCTCAGATCGTTAATTAACCGTCAAAACTGAATTATCGGTTCAGAAATATTTAATTTCCTGATATACTTAGTTTACGGAAGTAAAATTATAAACGAGAAGAATCGATCCAGAAATATTGCATTTCCATATCGAATAATTTCGCAACGTCACTATTTAGTACTTGTCATAACGTTGCAACACTGGAATTGTCAAATCTGGAATCGAATTAAAATTCCGAGTATAGTGTTTTTTTTTAATACATTGAATCTTAAGTAACTGTAATCTTTCTAAAACAAAATGGTCTCATTTTAAACGAAGCCTTTTATACGAAATACAGTACATATACGGTAGTTGACAGGTAGTCAAATTCAATACTTTATTGAAATGTCAAAAACAATACTTTTCTATGAATTTTGTATTGGATCGCAACTTATGACGTCATCATATTTCTGCGTCAAATAGCATACTTATTTCCTTAAAATTTGCGAGATAAAATCCAATAGTAGGTAAATTGTCAAATCAATGGATGAGAGTATGATTATTTTTTAATTATTTATTGCATGAAAAAGTTGAAACAATTTATTTTAAACCTAGGAAACTACCCAATTGATAAAATACTTGTATCAGAAAATATTTATCAAGAAATGAAAAAGAATAAATGCTAGCGGTTTCGCTTCTTTGGTCGCAAGTATACGTTAAAAACTCACCTTCTAAGATATTTTCATCAATATCCAAAATACTGGTATCCTGCACCTGACTAACATCAAACTGTTCATTCTTAACATTCTGCGGCTGTGTCTGTATAATGTACCCCTCTTCTCCGGTAGAGAAGTCAAAGAAGATCTTGTCATATTCCGTTTTGGTCGTCATCTCGAGGCAGGATAGAGACTGGGACATGTATGTGTGGTCTGTCGTGCTCTAAAATGGGTAATAAAGAATTGTAGTATGTTTAAAAAGTAAACCGCTTCTTCGGTCTACTGGTCAAAAGACGGCACGGTTGGTGCGGTGGCTGGGCAACTGCCGTCTTACGGGTAACGGGGTCGATTCCCGCACGGAGTAACTCTTTGTGTGATCCACAAATTGTCGTTCTAAGTCTGGGTGTTATGTATATATGAAATTGTATGTTTGTAAACACACACACGACATAGGAGAAAATCCTAGTGTGTGGCAATGTTAGAACAAAATAAAAACTGCAGAGTGCCAAGGACGAAGAAGTAACGTATTCGTAACGTAATATTAACGTGCGCTTGGGCGCTCTGGGGGCTTACTCTTGAATCCAATTCCGATCGATCGACATTGTTATTGTGAAATTTCGTACTCTTGAGTTGCAACACTAGCGCCCATTGCAACCGTATTGCGTGGATATTGAATGAACTAAATGGTATTGAGTTTGGCTTCATATTCTGTACTCTGAATGTTATTTTAACAGCTACGATAGGGGTTGTATAGTTTTGACATTGAATAATTATTGAGATCTTATTGGATTGAAATTGCATTCACATTGAGATTGGTTTCAGGAGTAAGCACCCTGATTAGTTGGTTCACGGGAGCTGACCATTCAGAGCAATTCTTATCGGTGCTTGGCACTCTACAGTCCTTTTTTTGTCTGAACAACATTTATAATAAAACTAGCTACTTCCGCGCGGTTTCACACGCTCTGCTCAGCTCCTATTGGTCGTAGCGTGATGTTTTATAGCTTATAGCCATTCTCGATAAATGCGCTATCCAACACAAAAATAATTATTCAAATCAGACTTGTAGTTACTGAGATTAGTGCGTTCAAACAAACAAACAAACTCTTCCGCTTTATATAATAGTATAAGAGTATAAGAATTAGGAAACTATTATGACAATAACCTCGTCTGTCCTGCTGAGGGCTAACACCCTGAGATGCTGCTGTGCGTAGTGGACCTGCCACTTAAATTTTTCGAACTTTTTTAGCAAGGCCAGACACTCCCAGCAGACAAGGTGTTCCATCTCCGGCAGACGTTCGCTGAACTAGAAGATAAAGTAATTACAATGTTAATAATTAGCTTTTGACTGCCTCATTGACCTAGTGGTCGTAAGAACGACTGCTGGACAAGGGGTCTTGGATTGGATTCCTGGGATGGACAAAGTATTATAAGGTTTTTTAAAAACATCTCAGTAATAGCACGGAGTCTGGAATAGTGCCCCCTATATGTATAGCAATAGGCTCACCCCCTATTACATAGGACTCATAACATAATTAGTGAAAAGTGGGTGTTACATTGTACAGTGGCATTAAGTGCTGTAATGTGCATCTCAGCCTACCCCTTCAGGGGTAAAGGCGTGATGTTATGTTGTTGTTATAATTCAAGGAGGTTGTTATAATTCCAGGTAGGACAGTTATTGTGACTCATACATAATTAATTAAAAATATTAATTTAAGAAAAAGAATTATTTATTTGTATGTACTCCACTTACAATGTTTTTTTTTAATTACTATATTAAAGTAAAAGTATGCTAGACTATTGACTAGATAATAATAATACATTATTTTGCTTAAAACTATGGACAGAAAAAATTATTATTAAAAAAACAAAATACCCGACTGCACACTAAAAAAAGAGTAAAACAAGCCCCACAATAATATTGATCAATCAAATACTAAAAACTAATTATGTAATACCGTTTAAACAATACCTATATTAAAATACACTACAATATGTGTTCGTAATCGATAGTTAAATAAACAGAAACTTATTTTGAATACAAATTTACTGAATATAATTTATAAATGTTGATGGAAAGCATCGCAGGCGGGGACCACCTTGACCGCCACCAACGAAAATTCTGCTAAATGGTGCACAACCGAAATGACTATAAATAAGCCTCTGTTGGTCCCCGCCTGCGATGCATTCCATCAACATTTATAAATTATATTCAGTAAATTTGTATTCAAAATAAGTTTCTGTTTATTTAACTATCGATTACGAACACATATTGTAGTGTATTTTAATATAGGTATTGTTTAAACGGTATTACATAATTAGTTTTTAGCATTTGATTGATCAATATTATTGTGGGGCTTGTTTTACTCTTTTTTTAGTGTGCAGTCGGGTATTTTGTTTTTTTAATAATAATTTTTTTATTTATAACTTTTTAGCTGTTTTTATTTCGATATATACAAATAGGGATATATCGAATAAAATCGCTATTTAGAGACGACCGTCAACGACGTGTGCCCTCATGCGTGTGCCCGCAATCGGGCTGTATACTCGAGCATATCCCCCTCCGCACCGCGCCGCGCGCCGCATGCCAGGCCACGCCCTATCTTTTTGCTTGCTAACGCATGAGTTGCTTTGCGTTGACGCAGAATTAACATGTTCCCGTGGGAATTTTGAGAAAAAACGTATCCTATATTAATTACTCCCGTGATTGAAATGAATCTAATGATACCGCATACATATTTTTTTAAAGGGAAATTTAGAAAAAATATTATTATGTCTTTATCCCGTGGGACTTTTAGGATAAAATGTATCCTATGACACTCCCGTAATCAAGACAAATCTAACGATACCTCATACATCAAAATCCATCAAGCCGTTTAGGCTACAGGTGGTCACAAAGGAAAAGACATACATACATACTTACATACACTCGAAAAACATTACCCTCCTTCTTTGGCAGTCGGGTAAAAATAATAGGATTAGTACTAATATTTTTTTATACTAAACTTGTATATCTGCAAAAAGAGGTTGGAATAATTGAGGGGCTCTAGTATCTGTACCAGCACCTGTGGCAATCTGGTTCACAACAATATTAGTGATATTTATTGAGTTTAAAAAGAGGAGGACTATATTCAGATTTTTATTCATGGGATATGGTCCGAAGTGGGTGATTCGTTCCAAGTCAATATTATTTCCAGCTGTTGCCGGGTGAAACTCTTTTTTGCCAAGCTGTAAATATACTAAGATATTCTCTACTAGTTTAGACTCACTACGTGACTCGAAACTGGTGAAGTAAAGGAGCTAGTAGAACACAAAACTAGTAATTTTTCTTGGTATATTTATGGGAGTAAATCAATATTTTTGGTAGAGTTATTATGGATGTTTTAAGTTTCGTGTATGTCATTATGTCGTGGTGGCCCGGAGGTTTCAGACGCCTGCTTCTCATGCATGAGGGTGCAGGTTCGAAACCTAGCAACGGCAAGTACCAATATGACTTTTTCCGAGTTATGTACTTTCTAAGATTATCTAGACACAACTGACAAACGGTGAAGGACGTCGTGGGGAAACCTGGACTTATAATTTCTAATTATAAGTCTGTAATCGCCAACCCGCATTGAGCAAGTGTGGTGATTAATGCTCAAACCTTCTCCGTGTGAGAAGAGGCTTTGCTCAGCAGTGGGCACTGATCTGTGGCTGTTGATGATGAATGAAAGTTTCATTTTTGCTCAATTTCTCTGTCTTATATTTTTGGGTACTCCAATAGCACGCAGTTTGGCACTGTGTGTTCAGTAATAGACTTAAGTCCTATTGCACACTTCTCATAAGATTTTATTTTAGATGGGAAAATTATTATCCATTAGTTTCTCCCGCCTTGAGTGAGGCGAGATGGAATGTCAGACTCTTACTGACTAAAAACCATCCCGTTGCTACCCTTGGTCTTTGAGCCGTTAAGTCTTCAGCGGCTCCGTGTACTTCTCCTAACTAGAATACGAAGTGATCTCTTCACTTCTGCCAACCCCTTCCGAGATTAAAAGGCGTAATGTTAAGTTAATTTAAAAAAATAACTCGACATTATAAACGTTAAATATCTGCATTAGTTTCATACAACTAATCTCATGAAATTAGCGGTTTAAAATATAAGTACTTGATCTTAAACTAATAAATCTTATTAAAAAGTTTCAGTAAAATCGAGCCAAGTCAATAAACCTACTTTGCATAAATATATGCTATAGCATGACCTTAATATTTACGTAATCATTCATCAAGTGTTTATTATAAGTTAGAAAACAAAACTTACACTGTCTTCCGCAAAATCATACATTAATAATAGTCGCCGGAATGTATTTTGCGCCTCAGTATTTAAATCGAATAAATCACGATCACTACTCAAACACGCACTACATAGTGTCCTATAACCAGCTTCAACGTCCTGCTCCATTTTATTTAACTTTAAAAAACTTTTCAATAAGAATTTCACAAACTTTTTATTTGTTGTGATTAATTTTCGGTATCAAAACAAAAAGTAATACTCCCATGTAAAATAGACAAAAATTGATGAACAACGTTAAACTGCACTGCGACACCACAAAATGGCTGCCTTACCTAGTGTTACTACACGAAAATAATAATTCCGTTTGCGCCAGCGGTTCAACCATGGTTCAACAGCTGATGTATTAAAGGAAAGGCTTATTGTTATAAGAACCAAGTACTTTTTATTCTGATAATTTGTATAGTAATTAAAACCCCTTCTCATTATCACCCATATACATAGCCATATATTTTGAAGGATATCATCGAAAAAGTAGTATGATATTCATTTTCTTGTTGCAAATTGCGATTGTGTACAACTATACTACAAGCATTTCTTGTTGTAGTATCAACTAGTATCTGACTATTTTTTCCACATAAAAACGTGTATATTGCAACAAAAGCCTAACTAAACGTAACTTAAAAAAAACAGAAATACCTTGTAACACTGAAATGTCAATGTCAAAAGAATTGTAAATTTGTGTTTCTTTTGCAAAATAGCGAAAAATAGTAAACAATAAGAATTTTCGCAAATACATTAATGAAAATCTAAATCAAAATGTATGAAGCGGAAGGATCTAAGGATGAATTGGACTGTAGTAGTCGTATTTCGTTTTGCCAGGCCTGTTTAAGTTCAGATAGAAATTTATTTCCAGTTGATCAAAATCATAATAATATTTTCAAAAATATTTTAGAAATGGTAATCAATTAAATATCTTATTGAGTTAAAATAATTAATTTAATGCATGCTTCGTTCTTTGCAATGAAAAAAATGTAACATACTGGAAATTGATCAATAAGACAAAAAATATTCTTTCATTTATTTTATTTCAAAATAATTTAAATTTCTTCCTGTTTCTGTTGTCATTTTATTGGGTAATTAGATACCACAGTTCTTTCACCTTTTAAAGTTAAACTTAGAAAGTTAACGTTAGACCCATTAAACTAGAATCACTATAAATAAAAAAAATAAAATTTCTTTTTTTTTCTTGCAGACTTTACCACAACCAATTCTTGTATGTTGGGAATGCATGGCCATAGTAAAAAAAATAAAAATTTTTAAAACAAAAATAGAAGAGGCACAGAAAACCTTAGCGTACCATTATGCTAATAAACAGGTAGGTAATGTAATAATAATGTTTTTTTTTTACTAAAATACTTCATCATAAAAATTATGACATACAGTATCACATTTTTTACTCTTTTATAGGTCTAGACAGATTTTAATTTGTAAAATGTTAACCCATCCGATTCTGTGACATATATAGCGAGAAGCATCTCAGCATGGTCCAACCGTGTAAAATCTTGAGTCAGTTTCTTGGCACTCTCAAATACCTATACGCCAGGAACAATTTCCTATTACGCGACATAACAATGAAATTTTAGAAAGTCTAGATATACCTAATAACCTAATTATGGCATTCCTTAGGTGTTGCTTGGTAGTTGCTTACTGGACTTAGTTATAAATAAACCCCTTTTATAAATGTCGACTCAGTCCACTCAGAGGTTTTGCCTAGGTGTCAAAAATCCACAATCATCATCAATAGCCTATAAATATAAATGCCCACTGCTGAGCAAAGCCTCTTCTCTTCTTGGAGAAGGTTTGACAATTAACCACCATGCTTGCTCATTGCGATTTGAAACTTAAAATTATAAATTATAAGCCCAGATTTCCTTACGATGTTTTCCTTCACCGTTTGTCAGTGGTGTCTAAAAATAATCTTAGAAAAAGTCATATTGCCATGGGTAGGTTTTGAATTCACAATGTTACTTAATAATTTATTTAAACTTCTTTACAGAGATCTGTACTAAAATCTCTATCAAAATTAACAAAAGTATACTCAGATCACGCAATAAATATAATTTACAATGAAGAAGAAGAAGAATGTAAGCAGAAAATAGAAATTAAAGTGGAAAATCAATCCGATGAAAATTATAATAATTATGAGCTAAACAATGACCTTTGCCATATCCAAGAAATTAAAAAAGAAGAAACCATAGACACTAGTAAAACAGTCAAGAGAAACAAAACACGCCACTATAAGATTGTCTATGAACACCATTCAAAAAAGGATCTAAGAAAGAAGTTTGCTATCAAAACAGAGGAACTGAGTTTGTGGATGGAGAATGAGAAAAAAAGCGAATTTTATAAAAAGTTTAAGTATAAATGTAAGCTTTGTATGAATGGATATAAAATTAAGGAAAAATTGAAATCTCACATCTTAAAACGACATGATGAAGTAAGTATCATTTTAGCTGAGGGCCTAGTACAAGATTGTTTTACGTCTGCCGAGATCAGAATGTTACCGTGTTTAGCTTGGTCTTGCTGTCATTGCAGCGGTAAGTCCCCTCTTTGAGGAGTCGCTTGAGAGACGCCACAGCGCGCGTCCTCACCTACCGCTTGAGCAACGGTAGCTCGCCGCCCGAACAGATCCAGTCACGTGCGTACGGCGCGTTGCGTTCCGCGCGCGCCTCAAAGTGCCTTCAGACCACCACAGATGGGTACCAGTACCACCCCAGTAGGGCTGATACCGGGGCTCCGGCTCGAAGTGCAGAAGTAGGAACGGGGTGGTTTTTAGTCAGTAAGAGTCTGACACTCCCTCTCGCCTCACCTGGGCGGGAGAAGTCGTTGGATGATTTTCCCCCCTCAAAGCAAAGCCGAGTTTAGCTCTCTTGGGGCTTAAGTACTCATTAGACATTGGTATTGTGAAATTTCGTACTCTTGAGTTGCAACACTAGCGCCCATTGCATCCGTATTGCGTAGATATTGATTGAACTATATAGTATTGAGTTTGGCTACGATTGGGGTTGTATAGTTTTGACATTGAATAATTATTGAGATGTTATTGGATATAAATTGCATTCACATTGAGATTGGTTTCAAGAGTAAGCACCCTGATTGGTTGGTTCATTGGAGCAGGACAATCAGAGCTACTCCGCTGCCGCGTCAGATTAGTGCGTGGCGGAATGAGCTCCGGCGCGATGTCATGGCGGAATGGCAGCAACGACTGTCACAACCGAGGGCTGGGCTGTCATTGCAGCGGTAAGTCCCCTCTTTGAGGAGTGGCTTGAGACGCTACGGCGTCCTCACCTACCGCCTGACGCAGGTGCTTACCGGACAAGAAGTTTCGGTAGGTTCCTGTTTCGGATTGGGCGGGAGGAGACGCCCGGGTGTCATCACTGCGAGGATCGTCCAGAGGACGCGGTGGAGCATACGGTGGCGGTGTGTCCTGCGTGGACTGAGCACCGCCGTGTCCTCAGGGATGTGATCGGCGACGGCGACCTCTCGCGTCCGGCTCTAGTTCAGACCATGGTACGGAGCGAGGGGGACTGGGATGCCGTCTCCTCCTTCTGCGAAGCAGTCATGCTAGCTAAAGAGGAGGCAGAGTGCATGAGGGAACGAACCACCTCACGCCCCAGCCGTCGCGAGAGACACTCCGGGCGTTGGGGACCGCGAGACGATCTCAGGCCCCCGTAAACACGGGCCGGGCGGACGGCGAGCACGGGTGACTCGCTGCCCGACCAGAACCAGGCCCGAGCGTACGGCGCGTCGCGTTCCGCGCGCGCCTCTAGGAGCTATCAGAGCACCACAGATGGGGCCCAACAGGACTGATGCTGATACGGAGCCGCGGAAGACTTAAAGAGTTGCCGGGGCTCCGGCTCGAAGTCCAGGAGTAGGAACGGGGTGGGTTTTAGTCAGTAGGAGTCTGACACTCCTTCTCGCCTAACCCAAGACGGGAGAGGTCATTGGATGATTTTCCCCCCTCAAAAAAAAGGGGCAAACAGAACTCCGTACGCTATAACGTTTCAATCTTATTAAACGTAAAAAGCTCGAACTAAGCCGTCTGTTCTACATAAAAATACGCCTTTTAATGCTTAATGGGGCAGAGGTGCACATATACAATGTAACACCCATTGTTCACTATATTTATGTTATAAGTCCCATGTAATAGAGGATGAGTCTATTGCCATATACCGGGCCCATTTCCAGACTCCGTACTACTACTGAAAATTAAATAAAAAGAGTGGGGTCTAAAACGTCACTTCTACTTATAAAATATACATAGAAGTGACGTCACGCGACATTTCAAATCAATATATCGTCGAAAGTATTCGTTTCTGTAAGAAAATAAAAAATACGTGTCTAATTATTTAAAATAATCTACCAGACGGACATTAAAATAAAAAATGTTAATTGTTATATTCAACAGTCCATAGGTCCGCATAAATGTGAAGTATGCAACATATATTTTGAAAATGAGACTGCACTGAAGAATCATTCGCGATCGCATCTGTTTGCGTGGGAATGTATCAAATGCGGGTTCCAGTGTTACTCACTACGGAGATTGAACTCGCATGTGAACACACATAGGACTGTGCGATGCGTCTATTGTGATGCTGAATTTCAGTAAGTATTTTTCAAACA